AATCTTCTTTAAATAGGGTATCATGTTTATCTTCAGAAAGAGAGAGATACTTTGAGATTATATTAAACTAAGAAAACAATCTTGTGAAATGCGTGGGAACCTTTTAATTGAAGTATTTAAAAGGATGTTCTCTGGGAGTAGCAGAAAGGTTCGGAATTGAGGTTCACTGCATAGATTTTTCTATTGGTTGTAAGCTTATCACTTGTGCTGAAAACCAAACCCAGACTATGGTGTCCATGCATCATCTGGGCTGGATCTGGCTCATATCTATGGAGTTAAGTATGCAAACAGAGCAAGTCCTTGTTTGTCTGTGCCCATCAGCGTACACATGCTTGTGCTCTGTGCGTGAACGTGCACACATGGGGCCCTTTGGTTCCAAGATCTTTCACTTGAGACCATGTAGAAGCTGACACTAGAGTAAACTCCAGCGGTGTATTTCAGGATGTGTCTCATTACATTAAGCAGCACAGATAATGGCTTAAGAGATTTAATTTAAAAAAAAAAAAAACAACACGTCCTTTTAAGGATTAAAGTGAAGTTGTTTTTTTTAATTGTGGCTCCCGCTGTTGTGTCTGTAAATTTTTGTTCAGAGTTATTGCTCTAATATTTTGTTGGCTGTTGGTTAATGATAACATTGCATCACAGTAAATGGATTGAATGAAGCATCTCAGAAGAAGAGTAGAATTATACAATTGCAAATCCTTTGCTGGTTCACTCTTACAATGGGAAAATCCCATTTCTATTTTAGTCTTTCTACCTATGATCTGCTAAGAATGCATTTTCTTACTTTGATTGCAGTTTTGACATTTAAAGAAATGCTTACTGTAATGAGGCTTCTGTGTTTTGTTCACTATGAGAATGTTTCAAGTATTTACATAATTAGAATATTAAGAGACTATATATCATAATGCAGAAAACAATTTAATTTTTGCTCTCCTTAAAAAAAAAAAACAACAACCAAACCAAAAACACAAAACTAGCCCTAGATGCAAACTCCCACACTCAGATCTTCTAGATTGTTCGTAAAGCAGAAATATAGGAACATGTGGAATAAAGAAGCTTTATGTAGTTAAGGAAGAGAAGGGAGCCTGTTGTTATACTTGTTCAGAAGATGTTCTTTTTACCTCGTTAAATTTGATTGTTTTATTAGTGAGGCAAGTACTGAAATATATAAATTCTAGTGAAAATGATGCCTGTAACTGCTCTTTACAAACCAGCTGAGAAAAGATAAAACTCTTGCCCTGTTTTGAGAAAGCTGCTTGTTCTAGCACTACTGAATGCAGGAATTAAAAAAAAACAAAATAGGATTCTTGTTACGCTCATTTGCATGTTGAATATTCTGGATGTTTTTCCAGCTCCCAGTTATTTCAAAGCAGTCCGAGTGTCTGAGCTCTGGGAACAAACCAAATGACTTACAACGCTCTTTGGTGTGCAGATGACCCCTTCCCTAAAAATCTGCTAGTCCAAAGTGGAGCAAGTTGATGATGGTACTCTTTGAAATCATAATAGGCTGCTGGGAGAAACTCCTTCATATCAGCTTCTGAAGTACGTGGCTAAAGAGAATGTTTGAGAGGGTACAGATAGGCAAACAGCGTTCATTTGCTCGGTGAGGAAAGTTGTTAACATTACCGTTTTCTTCATAGTCACATTTGAAATAGCTCAAATGCATAAAGCAAATAAGTAGCCCAGCAGTGAAGTGCTTTAGACTAAGTTCAGTTGCTCTTTAAATCAGGCATATAGCCTACACTATTTAACACATAAAAAAACGCCTGCATGAGGATGAATTTCACATCAGAAAGTTGGTGTTTTAATAGCTTAGTGCTCTATTCACTGAAAAAAAAAAAAATCCCAACAAACCACGCACAAAAAAACCTACAGCAGATCTGTAGGAAGGCTCAGGGATTTTGTCAAGTGGTATCTGTGTCAAAATAAATGAGGCAGCTCATCGCAAGGAGAGTATCCTTAATGATTCAGTAACATTGATGGGCTCCAAATCCTTGCTCGGAGATCATGAACCTTCTGGACAGTTGGGACAGTGTCACCTTTAATACTCAGTAACAATCAAAAGACAAATGGTTAGGATAGGAACAGAATGAATTATTATGTCTTTGTAAATCGATAAGTGTGTCTCAGACTTTTTTGGGACGTTTTATGCAGTAGTTTCCCTTCTCAGGAAGGAATTAGTAGAGCTAGGAAAGGCGAGAGTGAAGGGCAGATCTGTGATGAAATAGCTTCTGTACCAGGAAAAATCAAGCGGCACCAACTCAGTAAAGCTGTGACAAAGTTGTGTAAAGTTGAGAATGGTGATTATGAACAGGAGGCAATTGTTCACTGTTTTTCTGAAGATGGGAGCTGAAGGATATAAAGTGAAACTACCAGGCAGCAGGTTTAAAAGAAAAGGAAATATTTTTTTCCTGCGATACATTATAAGGTGTAGAGCTTGCTGCCACAGGATGATGGTAGAGGTTAAAAACATAAACGTACTCAAAAGAGGTAGGACAAATTTAGAGAAAAGTTTGTCAGAGGCTGGTCAGCATAGGCTGTGGGTACAGCCTCGGCACTGGGGTGCCCCAAAGCCATAGAGCCCCAGAAACTGGGGCCACTGTGGCAGGCTTGTCCTGCTGCCTTGTGCTCAGGGGGTCTGCAACAGGGTACCGTTGGAGATGGCATCACGGTCTTCAGAGGCTACAGATCCGAGCCAGTATATTTAGCTTAATGGTTTTCACCACCTTGCCTCCTTTTGCCAATTACAAGTTCTAACTAGCCTTAACTTTTTCTTTCTCTCACACACACTTTTTTCTTACTCCTCCAAGAAAATAACTCTTTCTTTCTCAAAACCTGATGGTGGATACATTAGCCCTCTTTCAAGCTTCTGGATTTTATTTTGCCCTGGAAAGTTACCCTTGAGCCTTGCTACTCTTCCTGGGAATGCTAGTGCGTGGTTCGTTTAAATGCATCAGCCTCACGTAGGCATGCATCTTACTATATACCTGTTGAGCTCTCCTGACTACCTGTGGTCTGATTGACACACCCATAGTCCCTGGAAGCTGCAGGGATGTCCTGTTTGATTTCTTTTTTTCCTCTTGTGTGAACTTGGCACCAAGCAGATCTAGTGACGTGAAGATCGTGTGTAGTCAGGGACAAGGTGCAGAGGTTCCTTGTGGGGAACAAACGAGGATTGTGGTACACCAACATCCTTGAGGATCTTGTCTGTAAGTGTGGCCAAAGAATTATAGTGTATCTGGCAGAAAACTCTTCTTCTCTGCTCGTAACTTGTGCGTCAATTTACTTGCATTCCTCAGTTCTGGAGGTGACAGGGCAGGGAACTACTTGTCTTTTTTCCCCACTACCTCTTTTCCAGGAGCAGGAAATACATGCCTGTAGGTCTGTTTAGGCACTTCTCGATTTCTGCTATTGAACCCCAACATTAGGGGAATGAAGAAGTATCAGTAGGTGCTCCAAGTAGACTCCTTCAAGCTCTCAGAATTCCTAAGTAATAGAAACTTGGTCATATTTTAATATTTTCACATGTAGTAAAGAAACCATTTTATTTGTGTGCGTGATCACTGGGTGCAGTCTGGTTGTGCCTTTGTTCTGCTAATTAGTTTGATGGATAGGTCAGGCACAGCCTTTTATAAAAACTTTTTTTTAGGTTATCCTACCTTTTCAGGTAGGTTGAGTTGAGGAATTTTCATACACCTAAAGTTCTTCCACCCACATGGGTGTGGTGGGATTTAATTTCTGAGCCTGTGTAAGTGCCATGGGAGTTCAAAGCAAGTACTGCTGTTCCTATTTCCACGTCTAAATCACTTGTACCTAATGTACAGAGAACTGGAAGCAGGAGGGCTATGTTCTGGTCTGCTCATCTTGTTCTTCCCAGGATAGAGCTGGGAAGCACAAGCTGGATGAAATTACTTTGTAGTGCATAGTTGGTCTATAAGCCTAACAGGAGCAGCCTGCATTGGATAATAATATGTTCATTTAAACAATGCTAATAATCAGCGTCCATTCTTGGGATGTGCAAACTGGAACGTACAATGAGTTGCAAGCACAAGGGAGCCTTGATAATTGAGGAACAATTTGCTTAATTGTGGTGTTCTTAGTCAATGTATCATTAAAACAATGAAAAAAAGTTAGGTGATTGTTTAATGTTCAACAGTGTCAATATGTTTTCAGTCTCCCAGATAATTTAATAGTCAGGATACATGTATTTGGAAGGAAAAATTAAGTTACTCTAGAAAATACATTAATAGGAAGTGGATAAGAATTACAAGGTTATTAAAAAACAAAAAAGCCACAACACATCCTCTCTACTCCCCCAAAAATCCTGGCCCAAACAACAACAGCAAACCATAACTACCTCATTTTATTGCACTAAGTATATATAAAGTTGGAGTATGTAAGGAGGGGTCTTCTGCGTTATTTTAAGGCATTATAGTAAGTTTTTATAAGTAAGTAATTATAAGGGATCTTCCATTGCAAAAGTAAAGTTTCTCCTGTTGCTTTTCAGATATTGAGAGAGGCTGGTTCTTGACTGGTGACTAATCTCAAATGTTGAAGTGACCTTGGTCAAAAAGGGATGAATATGTTCAAGTGCTGACTCAGGTTACCATATTCAAGTAATAACCTATGGGCCTTTGTTTGCTCTTGATTAAAAAAACAGATTTGTTTTCTTAGCAGTCTTACTGCAGCTGTCAGCATCTTTGTTCTTTCTATGATCAGAAAACAGGTTAAAAGCATCATTAAATAAGGCATAACCTCTGTTTCTAAGGCATACTTAAGAAATACATACTTAAGAAATTGATTACATGTAAAAGGATTATAAAGATTTATATATAAATACTCTGAAACAAATGTTAATATCCAGATGTTCTTAAGTCTACCGATTTTACAATTTTGAATTCAAAACCCAGATCCTTCTCACCTTCTGTTAGTAAACTTTTTTGGTAGTATTGTAAGACTATTTCTTCATTGTAACAAGAATGCTTCTATGTTTGCAGATGCTGTGAAGCCACCAGTCAGTTCTTTACAACCATCTGCGGAGTTACCCTTGCCCATCAACACTTCACCACCTTCCATGCAAGCAGAATCTTCCCTACCTCCTCCTTATCAGCTTATTAACATCCCCCCGCTGGAGTCTTCCTCTGGTCAAGAAGATCCTCAAGACTACCTACTGCTAATAAACTGTCAAAGTAAAAAACCTGAACCTATGAGGTAAGTGACTTTTTTTTCTTAATAGCACTTACTTGAATTACAGGCCAAGAATATTTGGGCTAAAAGCACATTTCTATTGCTGAATCATTGAATATTTGGATTCACGTAATCTGTGGGGGGAAGCTGCCTGTAACTTTTGCTTCTTTTTCTTTCTATGCGTGAACTTTTTGCAGCAATAGTAAGTTGCTTGGTCAGCGCTAGACCCATACTGAGTTCTTCAAAAGTGTGGACAGCAATTGCCAATATAAAGTATCAGATAAATGCAGTGGTGAAGGCATTTTATTGTAGCTTGGAGTGACGCATGGCACAGAGCAGAGGAGTAACCTTTCTTTTGCCACAATCTGGTGTGTTTAGTCCAGTCTAGGACTAGAAAAAGCTGGAGAAATTTAGTCTTTCTCTCTTCTGGTGTTTGGTGCCCCAGTTTTGCTAGTTAAAGCTTTCATGGAAGGGATTCAGTAAAACATGATACTTATTATCACCTGCCAGGTTATCACATCACTAAATATAGCAATCCTCAAATGGTATTTGCTGACTATTACTGACATGCTTCAGACTCTCAAGCACGAGTAAAAGATAATTATTTTGTGCTAACTAAGAATGCAGGAGACTTAAACCACTCAATTTCTGTATCCTGAATTTTAACTTTTTCCAAATAACAGATATTTTAAAACAAGCTTAAATAAGCCTTATTTCTTACTCAATTAAAGAGTACTCGCACTGTCAGTTCTTCAGAGAAGTGTACAACTGGAAATTCTAGAGGAAAGAATTGAGAGCTTCCACTGAATTAAATGTATATTTATTTCTCCAACTGCTACTTCTAATTTAGAGATGTACAGCACCTCCTTCGTAGGAGGATATGATATTTTTGGTAGGTACCTGGGAAATATCAGTATGGTTTTTCAGATTGGATCATGGTGACCATCCCAGGAGTGGGCTGCCCGGGGACTTAGTGGAATCACTGTCCTCCAAGATTTAAAAAAAGAAACCAACAACCACAAACAAACTTGACTGGACAAGCTCCTAAGGAGCCTCACTTGCCTTTGAAGTTGGCTTTGCTTAGAGGTATTGGAAGAGCTGGACCAGGTAATCTCCAGAGGTCCCTTCCAACCTTAGGTATTCTGTGGGAGAATCTTACAAATCTCGTTGGCAAGCTGCTTTTCTGCAGTAATTTAAAATAGAATCTGCTGGGGTATTTCCAGAAAAATAAGCAAAACATCATATTCTTTTTGTGATTGCAGACAAGTACATGGAAGGCTGAGGAAAGCTTCCTTTGAAAGTGTTTTCATGAGTATTTCACATACTCCCTTAGGGCCATACCTTTTAGTGGCGGTGCCTTCTTCATCAACACCTTGATGCTCTGCCAGTTTTACCTGTGCCATGTGTTCTCCACTCCCTTGGCATTTTTATCTTGCTCTGTTGTGCCTGAGGAGTTTCCTGCTCCGTTTGCTGATGATTACATGGTAGAAAAGTATCCACCTTTACAATCTTTCTTATAAAACAGAGGAATGAGCCTATAGTTTCCCCAGAGAATGGAATGTGCAGGTTACAAGCAGCACGGCGTGCCCCAAAGCCTCCTGCAAGAGAAGGGGAAATCCAGCGTCTGCTTTCTCAGTGTTAAAGGTTTCAGTGTGTAGAAGCTGATGGTGCCTGAGAGGTATGTCACCATTCCTGCCAAAAGCTATCAAAAGTTCCTTTCCAGAACAGCTTGGCAGAGACATCTTGACTTCTCATTTCAGCACCCTGGCTTATGAGAAATGTGTCTGAGTGCCCATTTGCTTCTGCGAGGGGTGGGCACAGAGTGGGTTTCTAACAATACCACATGAAGTATGTTTTTAGGAATGATCAAGGTTGGGATGTGTAATTGGCTTTTTGACCTGACTCCCACAGTTGTATGACATGTGGTTTAAGTAGAGGGAGTGGAGTCTGAGGAGACCATACAAGGGGGCACAAAACACGGCAAGGTACAGAGTCTGTGAATAGCCTGAAAAATTTCTTGAGGAAGACACTGATGACACAGGAGAGAGGTATTTGTGTATTGAGGAAGGCAGAAGGTCCAATGGAGATAAAATGCTGAGGGAACTGAGAAAGAACTGAACAAAGTCGTTGGGAGTGTAGAGGTTGTTTAAATAAATCATGTTTTTTTTATGAATATTTGAAGACAGTGAAACATTGGCATTGTGATTTCTTGGAAATTATAGGGGCTTAGTATATTATATTTAACTGAATTCACTAAATAGCTATGCCCTTTCATTAAGAAGGCTGTAATAATGAAAATTCAGAATAATAGTTATGCCGGAGTCTCAGTTCCACCTAAAAGGGCTGCTTATGTTTCATGTCTGGTACTGTAGATATTCTGCTCGATTTGGACCAGAGTATAGAGGACCTTTTCCTACGGAATTAGAGCTTTGTGTATCTGCGTAGCATGTTACTAAGATGAACAGTTGAGGGCATTCTGTGCACTACACCAATCCACATCCTTACAGGTGAAGAAAAATTAAATGGCTGCATCATTTTCCTATTAATTTCCAGACTTGGAACAATTTATCTGTGTATTTCATACAACCTTTTTTCCTTAGTGTAAAGTGCAAAGCTTAATAGATGTAATTAAATAGGCAGGTGTTCTTACTTGAATGTTTTTTTTTCCTGTGATGTTTTCACTTTAGATTTTAAAGTTTCCAATATGCAGAGGGAACATTTTCTGTTTTAATTTTGCATGGTACTTTGTAGATAATCTGGGAACCACTGAATTTTATTCCAAGGCTTTGGGGCTCTTTTCTGGGTGAGGCATGTAACTGAAACATAGAGGAAGTATCCAAGCTGCCTCTGAAATCTTTTAGAATTGTAGTGGTTTAAAACTAATAAATAATTTTAAAATGCTTCATTATGGTGGCATGCAATGCACCACGTACTGTTGTGAGAATATCTCGGACACAGTACTCACAGCTGTAACAATTATGCTGTACTTTGTCTAAAATAGTTCTGTGCTCTGTTCACTGTTGACTTGGGAAAGAGCATTGTTTGACTGTAGCACTTAGTGAGATTTTAAGGTTTGTATTTGGATCCTGAATAAGAAAATGCAGCCAAAGACTGTTTCCAAAGCCCTTATTTTTCTGGCTCATTCGAGAGGTATATTGAAATACTAAACACTGTCTTCCTCATTTTTCCTATGTTTATGAACCAGCCAAGGGTCATCCTTTCTCTCGGAAGAAGGGCAGGAATACCTGCTATTAGAAGATTTTGAAAGTAAAAAGATTCCACTGCAGTGAGTGAACAGTAGCCATTCTTGGAACGCGTGTGAGAAATTAATCACAGAGCCATTAACTTGCCTGAAAATATTGTTTGTTTGAGATACGTCTTGCATGGTGTTCTGTGAGTTTTAACAGAAAAACTATGTAACTTTGGCTTCCATTTCCTGGAAATAGAGCTGGTTTATTATTTATTTATTTACTTATCCATGTTTTTACTATGCTTGCTGTTTCTGTCCCAGATGGCTGGCACACAAGAGCAGTTTTGCTGCCACTTTGTTCATAGTATTCTATTTAATCAGCCGTGTCGATACCTGCAGTTGGGAAAAGGATCAGCTCGACAGGATGAGTAGGTCAAGCTAGACCAAATACAGCATATTCAAAAAGGAGATGACTACCCCTCAGACTAAAACACTTGTAAAACTTTTTTCCTGAGTCTCTGCCAACAAGCAGATTTTGGTACATGGAGGCAGACTTTTTATTGGGCTCCCCTGCCTCAGTAACCCGTCTCTTCTCTGTGCATCTTGTTGTGCAGTCCTTGTAGATCTGCAGGCTGTATAGTTTTCTTATCTTGATGTGTGATAAGAGGTGTCCAGTCCTAGAACTGAGTAAGGAATAGTTTGGCCACTTAGCATAATTTGCGGGTATGTGATGCCTACATGTGATAACACTGAATTCACGTTGCAATAGCGCTGAATTCATGTCACAGTTGTCCTCTGCTTATAAATAGAACGAGGAGTTTTCGTTATGTTATATCCAACTTTGCCATTATTTTAAACTCTGTAAAAAGAAAAGAAAAACAAACAAACTAAAACAAAAAAACAGAACATAAAAACTTATCTTAACCAATTGTTAATGGAATATTTAAGCCAATTGATTTTGTTTTGAGCTGTTCTGAACTACATGAGAAAAATTAAGATTTTCAGGTAGTTTTAAGTTGAGAAATCATCAAATATCCTGCATCTGAAATCTTTTTTTTTTTTTTTTAAAAAAAGCAGGACTGAAGTCTAGTCGTACTCTATATTTCCTTGAGGTAACATGAATCAAATACTTTGTAGGCTTTCAAGATTGTATGTGTTATGATCAGTGGTTAATACTGACTTTTGAAAACTATTTAAACTTCAGAGGCTGAATTCCCTGTCTTCATTGTAGCATGAACTGCTTTGTTGTCCCATGTTTCAGACGGATTCCAAACTTTTGGTCTTGCAAAATCAGATTGGTTAGTTCATATTTTGGAAACTATTTCAATAGACTAAGAGGTTGATTCCAAAAGACTATTTTTTAAAATGTGAAGTAAATCAGAAATGCCCTCTTACAGTGAGAAATGTAAGTTGTTGCCATCAGCTAAGCAAGCAACCTTATGGCTGCCTTGTGTCATTCTTTTTAGTTCCAACAACCAACATTTTTTCTGTTCTTCACAAGTGCTTGTGGTCAAGAAAGAAGCAGCAGCATTCACTTAGACTCAGAGAATCTCCTGAATTTCAGAATGATAGCGTTTGTTGCTTACGTGTGATGGGTAATCTTTACGCGCTGGTGTTGTTCATGTATTGTTATTGCATCTTGAGCCTTGGTTATATACGCCTGCATGTTGTGCATCTTTAGAGCCAAATATAACATGGCATCATTATAATGTGCCCTAATGTCTGAAAAAAAATACCATAGTGCCTAGAACTGGTAAGATTAAGGGTATTTTCTCTGCTTTTGTGTGTGGAAAATATTTTAAGTCATTTGGGTTCTGGTGCATGGCTAAATGGATGGAAGTGATCCCGTGTACAAGCCATGAAATGAATAACAACATTGAGTGTACCCTTTTTTCATTATGTGCATTTCTGTTCTCTTTTTGTTAGAGAGATGGTGGTGTTTATATTTTATGCCTGTAGTTTTGAAATGTTTTTCATTTTAAAGTATATCCTGGTGAACTGGAACTAATCATTTTGGTTCTACAATTGATTGTCAGTGTCCAGCTTTTCTAGGCTGCCCACTTTATTTTTATAGCGTATAAAATACAGATCACAATCCTTGCTCCTGTAAAATACGCGTGACTTTTGCTGAGACTTTGGTCTGAATGAATACCACAGAAGTAAAAGAGTACTTTTAGAAAGTGAGGAACTCCTGAATGAATCCTTCATGTAAGAGCAAGGGCTGCAGCAGGGGCTAAGCTCACTGTGTCACTAGTCACGCAGTATGTTCACAATTTATTATGTAGCCTGTAACCTCGTGTAGTTCCTTCAGTCCTAAGTGCTCAATTTTTTGCACGTGTGTTAAATTTCCAATGGTTCATTAGTGAGTTTTTGAAGCTCGCACTGTAAGAAACATAGGAAGTTTCACTTCCTTGGTTGTGCCAAGGATAAATACTTAAT